TGAAAGGTGGCTCTAATACTACTTAAAACCAAAGGAAATGGTCTGAACGTATCTGTGTGGTAGGCAAGAATGACACGCATCAGAAAAGTAAAAGGCTAGAAGTATTGCATGGATTTCACACAAACAGCAAAGCAGAGAAAAGAAACCTAAAAGAAAGGGAAAAGTATCTTAGAGAATTCTATAAAAGAGAACACATTTTAAAAAGATTAATAGAAAGGCTGCTAGAGGTTAGGGAAAGGAATTGAAGCACTCACAAAAGAGGGAAAAAAATAAGATGCCAATAAAAGAAAGATCTCTAGAAGGATGACAACACCTGCACTCAGATGTAACAGTCACATCAAAGGAAGTTCTGTGCCAATTAAAGTCTCAAAGAAAGGAGAAAAAAATGAAAGTAGGAGAGGTCACTCTACCATCTTAGAAACCATCTGAAGAAATTATAGACCCCAGGACTGATCTTTAACAGAACCACATAAAAGGACTAAACTAAGGAAAAAAGCAAGCAYGTTTTCTTCTCTCCTCCCCTTCTTTTGAGAGATATGCATGAAAATATTAACAGGAAAAAAAGAAAAAAAAAAGTAGAGAAATTCAGTGTAGTGAATTCAGTGGAGGCAAAATCTTGGTGTTAACTAAGTGCTGAGGTTACAAGACACTTGAGAAGAGAAGAAAACGTATTTGTGAAGTGCAGTTCTTTAGACAGAGCTAATGACATTTGAGGAAGTGACCCACATCGGATGGGCTTTACAAAAATCCAACAGTATTTCAAAGCAGCACAAAAGCAGAACCTTCACACCACGCTACACATCACTCTACGTATTTTTTATTAGGTTTAGCAAGCATTAAAATATCTTCCCTTCAATTAAAGGCAGGGCCAGAGGCCAGACTAATACCAGATCAGTAAAGACAGGTTCTCGTGCCATGTTATAGTGAGGAGGCCCAGGATGGAAACAAGCATGAGAAGCATCAGCACTGGAAACAACGCTCAGATGGACAATCCCAAGCAGCTGCCATGCTAAAGAGCAAAGGAAACTTCTTATGAGTCAACCCAGTTTAAACACAGTCCAGTGTCCTAATCTCTGCATCATGAAGACTGGGAGGATTTGGGCTTTAGAAGTCAGCAGACAGTCATGCAGATTCCATAGAAATCCAGTCTCCCTCCAGAAGTGCTTTTCCCAAATGTGGGGAAGAGAAYGTGATTTCAGTATTGCCATCACAAGGCCAAGGTGTGTCCAAGAAGGCAATGGGGTATTTGAAGGATCATTAAAAAATCCGCAGAGCCAATAGTGGCATTAAGATCTACAGCCCAAGTTCAAAGCCCAAACTCACAATCCGTACTCAGCCTGAAGACTCCCACTGTGATGGAAAACATAAGTAAAGATGAACCGAAGAAAGACAATATAGCAAAGCAGAATAAGTACATTAAAAGCTAAAGGCAGAAAATAAGGAAGGATACCAAGATATAGCTACGTCAACCGGACACATGGTGTTGTGCCAATTGAAATGAAAGTTTATGCTGCCAAACACATTCTCTCAAAAATCTGCTTTCAGATTTTTTTTTCCTAAATATTTCAAATCTGGATAGAATTTTCCCTTCTCCACGTGTTATTTTCAAAGTAGCATTTGGCTTTTGTTGGTATAATTTGGAAGTACAGAATGATTGGGAAGTGCAAAGAGGTTCAGCAAACATCTTCCCCACAAAGCAGTAATAAGGTTTGAATGCATCATTTCTTTGTGAGGCCCGATGAAAACACTGTATTCAGAAAGACGAGGTAACTTTTTCCAGCCCTCTCTGATCTAATAAAACACATTGCACTACAAACCTCACTTCTTGCATTTTTCAAGCCTCATGCCCAATCCTTTCAACTGCTTTGGAGTTAAACACTCACAGATTTTTCTCCTTGCCCTGTGAAAACAATCCCAAAACATGTGAACTCTGCTGCTCAGAACCGAGTGTGAAAATTCCCGTCACGTGTGACCTGGGAAATGCCCTTCAGCCAGCAACGCACTCAACATCTGGCAGGCAGATGTGAGGTCGTAGCTATCTGGTTACAAGAATTCTGAGAACCAGCTCCCTAAAAGCTTTGGGGCAAAAGGTGTTAGGGCAAAAGGAGACTGGATTCTCCAAGTCTAGCGGTGTTGGCTGCTTTGCGGCAAGAACTAAAGGACAGGAAGAGYCTTTTGCAGACCTATCTCATGACAGCCAACTTGGGCACTGAGACACTCCATCCAAAAGCAGAGGAAAGGAAGACACCAGCAGGACCATCCTCTCAAACATCAAACACCCTTCCTCACAAGGCCAGACAAAATAAGAGTTATGAGGAAATGCACAGTTACCCCCCTTTCTTTTCTGCAGGAGAAACCCAGGCAGGCAGGATTGCAGACCTTGACTACCTAGACGTACTGCCCAGTACTGTCCTGGTCTCCCTGGGCTGGCAAGGCTCTCTCCACTCCTCCCACGCACCCCAGAGGCCTTTCCAAGAAACACCTCAGAGACAGATACACACCGAACSAAGAATGAAGTCCTGAACTGAAATTGTTCTTCCTTCCTTCAGCTTTTTTATGACTAGGCTTTTCCTGATTTATAGCAGATTCTGCAAGCCCTGCCATCTGCACGGGACAAAATACCTTTATTTCTGCTCCTCCAAAGTGACTTCTGGACCAAAGAGTTTCCCTTGGAATCTGCAATTCTCTACCTTCAATGTTAAACTCTGGAAATTGATTTAAAAACAAGTATCCTGCTCTCCCCTCCCCAGGTGCTTACCAGATATGCCACTCCCTGCTTGGTATATTTGGTTTCAGGAAAAGTGCTAGATAATTGTAACACATCCCCTGACAYGTGGAAATCAGAGGCACTGCCCTCCCAACTTCTAATTTCTCCAAGGTTTTGCAATAGCAGAAGATTCACTGTGGATCCTCAGGGCTRATAAGGTGGCTCAAGAATCTACCTGGCTCTATATTCTCCACAAAAACAAAAAAGAGGTTGGCAGGCTTACGGATAAAGCTGACTCTGTTCTGCATTTATTTAAGTACAGAAAGTGAATTCAAAATTGATTAGAAGGAGCAAGTCAAGCAAACGACCTCAAAAACCTATAAAAACGCCAGATGTCTGCTGCAATATTAACTTTGACCTGCTGCACACATGTCACAGTTTGCATTCCATTTGTAAAATATGCATCCTCATACAGAGAGTGGGTGTATGTGTATATATGTATAAAAATATATATATGCGCAGTGTCAAATATGAAATGTAACAGCTGTGAGAAATCCCTTTGAAAATCCCAAACAATAAGTCATTATCATCAGATCCCATCGCAGTAACTATTTATTGAGTAAACGAAAGTGAAATTTTGAATAGGATTTGAACACTAGCAAATGGGTCAGAAAAGAATGAATTCAGCATTAAAGGATTTTTTTTTTTTTTTTTTTCCAGATGTACTGCAGGAAGAAATTGTTAAATATTTAAAAACTTTCCCTGACTGACAATAAACAAGTCTGCTCTAACTGTGAGCACCTTAGACAATCTTTTAGCAAACAAAGCCCAAATTACACTAACCACCACTGCTTTCTATAGTTTATAATTTGGTTTTGAGCTACTCAGGCTGGCAAACTTCCAAAAAGCCCTTTCCCATTCGTGTGGTAGCAATGATTTCAGGAATCATTAAACAAGAAGTGAATAAAAGTATGCATAGCTTCAGTAACACGGGGTAGAATAAAGCAGTGGAACCAATAAATCTTCTRCAAATTTCCATTTTTTTCAAGGCCAAGAAAGTTTTATCAGTTGCCTTTACCCTATAATACAAGCTCTACTTATACATTGAAATATCAGCAAATAAAAATGTAAAATACAGAAGCTGTAAGAATTAAAATAATAAAGGTTTTGGAGTAGAATATCACAAGTCTGGCTTCTGTGTTCAAGTCAGCTATGTAACAAAATTGATATGTTTATAATTTCCCCTCTTTATAGCAATTGTTCAGTTCTTCCTACAATTCTGTAATTTCTATGGAAGAATCCATGCATTTACAACATTAATCTGTGAAGATTTTCCATATGCTACATCATACTCACCTCATAACTGACTAAAATTCACAAAATCTCCTTGTAACAATGACTCTTCCAACCGAGAATTTAGTTTTGTATTTTTTTTTAAAGGGGAGGGAGGGTTAAATGAAGAAGAGTGTACATAGAGATAATCCAAGAGAGCAAAAACAAACAAAAAAAGAATAGTATAAAACTGGACCCAAAACATTCTCTGAGGAATACACAAATGGTAATTCCCAGTCCGATATCTGGACAAACATTAAACAGTCCATTCTGTCATGCCATCTGCCAGCCAGTTACCAATCCCGCTCTGTGCTCTGATTTGTGCTTCGTTTTTAAGCAGCCAGAAGTGAACTTAAAAATAAATAAACAAATAAATAAAACAAATCAAAGTGGTACATAGTAAAAAATCAATTGCAAAAACAGATCTCAGATCAGTTTAATAATGTTTGTTGCTCATGTGTATTGAATTCCAAACCACTATGGGCTCTGTGTGCACAGCAGGACAYGAAGGTTTAAATAGTGAGCTACCAAACGCAACATAAATGGCATCAGTCAGACCTGGGAATATTCACAATATAAATACCAAGGGAAGAGGGAGCTGCCTGCCCCATGCCAGGTTTCTTTCATTTGCAACTCACGARAAGTATTTAGTATTTAGAAACTTTGTAAGAGACTAGCATTTCTGCAGCATGAGGTCCATGATGGCAAGCCAAAGAAAGAGTTGTGCTTTCTTTACTGATATTATTTCAAATTTTATTCCAAAACACTACAATGTGTAAAAATTTACTCTAGTATGAAATTACTAGAGTAAATTTAAGAATTTACTCTAAAAACCTCCCCCACAATGGACTACTTGCAACACAACAGAAATTTTATAAGCAAAAAAAMCTGAAGACAGACAAAATGGGTAGAAAATAGGTAGGATGAGTAGAAAAAAAATGTATATTTATCTATGTCTTACTTTCAGAATATTTTGGGTTTCATTCCACTTGTTTGTCCACTCTTTGGTCAGTTCTTGCACCTGTAAAAGAAAACAAACGTCCGAAAAAAGAAATCACGGCCCCTCTGTTCCATTCTTTGTAAAATGTGAGATTTAAACAAAGGTTGAGAGGAGCATTACTCCTCCTGCAACAATTCTAGAATTCTAGAATTCTCCCATTTTCACACACACAAAAGAAGTYGAAGATTAATTTCCCTCAACAAAACATAGCCCAGTTTCCTTACCAGTAGAATTTAGGCTTTTTCCTTTAACATATATGCCTGAAAACAAATGGTTAAGTGGCCATTCCTACAATTTTTCTCTCTCAAAAAAAAAAGAAACTAGAAAATTTTTATTTCACTTACAAAATGAAACAAAGGACAGGCACAGCCTCCTAAAATAATGACAGATATTTTTAGAAAAATTGAGTGATTTCACTAGGTGCTTGGCCAGTCCCCTTATATCTAATATAGCTCCTCCAAATACCTCGGCACCTGCAACCTGCTATTTATTTTTCAAAGCCAGGTCACACCAGTCCTAATGCTCCCAATCACAATGTTAATAGAAAAATTAAAAGGTTTCTGTTCACTACAGCTGAASAATTTTTATCCCAAAGAAATCATTTTTAATTGTTCTTTTAGGAGGACAAGTCACTTCACTAAAGAACACTACCATATATTTGTGAGATGACTCAAATATGGTGATACAGTCCTTGGATCTCTACAAACAAATTAATTATTGCATTCATTTAATTATAAAAAGCTCTAACCACTGCAATAGCTATTCAGAATTTTCTGTAACTGTGTCTGTAGCGATTTTCTCATATAGTAATCACGTAACCTATTAACGAGGTTGACAAAAGATAATAAAAAATGCTCTATATACTTCCCACACAGAGAGGCCAAGACTTCTGAGGAGGACAAGTAGTGATTACTGTCAGGGCTTAAAAAACATCCCCTAATTAGCACATAAATCAGCAGTTTATATCATGCAACTATTCTGAGATAAAAGTTTTATGTTTATGCACACAAAAATTAGTTATACACACAAAAATTATGCTACTCATACGAACCAACTTGTCACTCAACTCTGACTGACCTAGATGACAACAAGCTTTAAAARCTTGGTAAGGGCGGAAAAGTAACTTAACAGCTGAAGGTTAAAATTATTGTGATGCAGGTTGTGATTTAGTATTGAAGGTAACATAATAAAGGAGTTTCTGCACATGGTGTAAAGTTTAAAATGTGTCTCTAGAAGAAATTTGGCCAGAGAGAAGTCTGTAGTCTGCTTTGTGGTTAAGGCTCCTAACACGGCTCATGCTAATGCACACGTTTTACTCCTATTTGTCATGAAGTTTCAGGTGTCAGTTTATAAAATAATGCTTCCAACTTGACTCTAAAATTGGTATTGACAACCAGATTCCTAAAAAGTACAAATATATACAAAAGAACCTATTTTTCTGACATCCATTAGGTATGCAAAATACATATCTCCAAGTGTAAGGTGCTGATCTTGTAATCATAAAGCAGTACCAGGGAAGTCTTTTAATTTAGCTCAGTAAAGATATCTGCATCCATATTTGATTGGAGCACCACTGACAACATTAAGAATTAAAAATGGTAAATAAACTCACTAACACATATTTGAAGAATTCCAAATCCTCTCTTCCCTCTTTTCCCCAAACCTGAATAACTTTATTTAAAAAAAAAGCTTTGCAACAGTGCTGAAACCAAGTAAAAATATTAAGTATAAACATTTAATAAATACTAAAATACATAAGATCAATAAAGGATGGTGTTTACATTTTTATTACTAAGATAAAAATACTTACTATTCATAGCATATTAACAAGGTAAGAATGATAGATTGTGAGCGAAGCTAATGAGAGCACCATTATAATCCATATTCTTTTGGTGGACAGGGTACTTGAGAGCACTTGCGGTGAGACACCCTAGGGAATTCACCCACCCAATGCTCAAACAAAAAATAAGGTGGCTGCTCAGGCATCAAACATATTGGCCCACGTCTGTAACAGATTTGAGGACTGACACATTCGGAAAACATAAGGCACAAGCTACTCAAAAACAGGAATGTGCCAGCCAGTTCCCTCAAAAGCATCTATTGCATTTCCTATGTCTTTGTCACTCTGATTCCTATAATATAGCACTGTAATCTTGTGGGGATGCCTTCCTACATTTTATGTATTTTTTTAATAAAGAAGGTGCCTTGAGATTAAATATTTTGATTACTTCAGCAAAAGAGTTAAGTAAATATTAAAGATGCATAGTTTGTTTATAATGCTATCTTGCATTAATAGGACAAAACAATAAGTTATATCTTTATATATATATATATAAATAAAATCTTATATCTCTTATGTAAGAGTTATATATCAAGAAAATGCTGTTTGAGAGGAAAACAAAGGACATTTATCCAAAAAAGAGCCCTGAAAACAATTGCAGCTTGTTTTGCCTCGAGACCCCATTTGCTTTCTGATTTGACGTTATCAAACCGCAACTTACCCTTGCTTCATTCTGCTGAAGCTTTTCCTCCATACTTAAAGCTGTTGGAGAATCCAAGAGGGCAATCTAAAATTGTAAAAGTCAACATTAGCATGGCAAAAAAATCAACCCTGTTGGAATCAAATGAAAGAAGTTCAATCTTTTTCATACTTCAGTAGAGGATATTTTAAACTCCACTATATGACAAACCACCTCGAACCACAATGTACAATCACAGCAATCAAGATTATGTCAAAGCTGATATTCTGAATACAAACCAGCAGGTTGGGGGTATTTTCGTTCCTTGTGTATACACATTGCCACACACTGAAACTAAGTAGATTTCTGATAAAGTTACTGTTATATTTCTGTTAACAATGAAAAAATATACACCAATAGTCTTGTGTGGCTTAAGATTTTCATAGAATCATAGAATCCTTAAGGTTGGAAGGGATCTTTAGAGATTATCTAGTCCAACCTTCCGCACACACAGGGTCACCTAGAGCATGTGGTACAGGGTTGCATCCAAGTGGGGTTTTGGAGATCTCCATTTGCTCTAAAACATGCAAGTATGGTGTTTATTCGGGGAAAAAAAATAATTGGTTTTTGAAGAGAGAAAGTAACACATCACACACACAAACATATACACATATACACTTAAGCAACACTCTTTTTTAAATAACCTTTGACACTATTTTTCATAAACAATATTTCCAGTGATCTATGGAAGCATTTGCAACACGAAATTCTGGAAATACGAAGGGAGCCCATAAAATAAATTAACCAGGGATTTATGTTCTATTGTGTATATCTAACACCAGCTGCTGTTTAACCCATCATCCCAAATTCAATTAACTGAAGCTAGTGCTCCACTGTCTCCCACACAGCCATYCATCACATCCCACAACAGCACCAGATTTATACTGCAATAGCTGCTGCTTTACGGTTTGGAACTGGGTCAAAACATGAGATCTACAAAGGGCTCTATCTACTTTGTTAACTCGAAATCAAGCTATATATCCAAAACAATCAGCCAGGGAAGAAAAATAATATGATTCTCCCCCGGCAAAAAATACAAGAAAAACACAGGGCTGAAATAGAGCAATTTGACCCCATCAGGAGTTTTCTAATTATCTGCAACACAGCAGAWTTCCCTGCTTCAATCACCTGCAGACCCCTCACTGCCTCCAACGATGGTCCCATCTCCTCCTTCACCAAATGATGAAGTTTCATGGATGAAGTCCAGCTAAAGCCCCAGGTGTCAGAACACGTGTGCTGAACTGACACATTGCACCTCCTAGCTAAAATAAAACCAGGTATTTCTAGAAATAAWTCTAAAGTTTCATTTCTAATGTCTTCCCAAATCCCCTCTCCTCAAGCATGAGCCAGCAGTGCCCAAGTGGCATTATTTAGCAGAGACAACCAGCCTCGAGACAGTTTTATTTTCCTCATTGTCGGCTTAGCTTCACCATCCTCAAAGCAGAGGAAGAAACTAAGCTCAACTGAGCTTGTGCAGCAAATGTTTGCAGGGGCTAATACTGACAGAGAAACAAGAGCACTGTGGAGAAGGGAAGCCAAGGGGAACTTCTCCTGGCTCACAAAAAAAAGGCCTGTGCAGAAGAGGTTCTGTGTGTCCAGGGTCCAGAGCGAAACCTTTGCAAAGGAACCATGCACGTGTACGTTGAAGGCCTAAAAGAGATTTATGCTTGTTCCAGTAGCAACTTTTGGTTGGTTTTCCTAGCACGTGGGATAAATAGTAACGAGTAAATAGTCCAGACTGCTCAGATCAGTAATTCAGGGACTCAACACAGCAAGCACGAGCCAAGGCAGCATCCATCAAATACAAAACAGATTTTGTTCAGTCGGTCAAGCAGACGTTCCCTAGTAAAATTGATTCATAATAATAATATCACTTTTAAGTACTAGCATTTCTAGCCCTGTCGTCAGAAGTCTTTCTGGCCTTTTTAATTCCCAGTCTCGGTGCATTACAGCATTTTGCCTCATGATTACAGCACCACCATCACAATCTGTTGTTTTAGCAACAGTAAGGTTAAATAAGCAGTTATCAAATAACTGTTAAAAGTTTTTKAAGTCAAGGGCAAAAGTCAGGAAAAAACTTTAAATGCTCCATATTACCTTTTTTTGGATTCACTTTTATCATTCMGTATGTATTATGGATGCTCTACTCTGTATTGCACAGAGGTATAATCAGATATTTACCTGAGCATTAGAATTGACAGTTAACAGAATTAGTGCCCCTTTGCACTCCTTCATCTTCCCTCAGCTGACATAAATCTAGCACTGAAAGAACGTGGACATATATGCTTAGCACGTTTACCTCCTTGCTAACACACTGTGCAGCCTAAGAAAACATCAGCTTTCAAACCTGTCCATATTCCCACAGTTTTGCATTTGAACATCTCAATTACTTTATAGCTTCTGTTACTGCTCGGTACCAACTGAGGGGTCTTTTCAGCTCATCAGACTAGATACAGCAAATATGTTACTGCTCAGTTACCTTATGTTGTGGTGACTACCTGTTTCACAGAGTACTGCAATCAAGGTCTGATTTTATTAAGACAAAGCTAAAAGCTTTGGGCCGGTAATTTTTCCCCTGTTATGTTAAAAGAGGTAATCTGCTGGCCATATGGAAACTGATTCAATCGGGAAAATAATATTCATTCATAACCTCATACAGCTTGTTTACTCAAATCAATATGATGAAAGATAATTATTTCGTTACATCCTAGAAATAGATGTTATAACTCAAGGAAAATTATACCTAACTTTCAGGCAAAACTAACCTGATTCCCTTGAGCAAGCAAGGCTTTTAACCGGGCTATTTCAGCTCTCAGCTCCCGGATCAGCTTGACGTTAGGATCCTCATTAATAGTAGGCTTGTTGATGATGTTTTTGGCTCTRTTTGCATAGCGAAGGGTACTTAAAGTTTCTCCGTAATTGACATCAGCAGGTGAAATAGCTAAGGAGATTGAAAGCAGAAACAATTTATCCGTCGCCATATGTCTCATTTAGCAGAGCTGGGTTTGTTTTCTTAAAAGTCAGAAACTTAACAGGGACTAAAAGGCACCAACAGGATCAGCTACTATGGCTATGGCTTGTTTCAGTTCTTCACTGCTTCTATGTCACTATAACCTTATTTAGGTAAACAAAGTTGCACCACTGGGTACTAGAATAAGCAGATCAATTAATCTAGAGTGGTAAAGAAATCTTGATGTCAATCTATTTAACGTTACATCTCTCTAGCAAACAAAAACATGTCCTATATGCTTTTCTCTGCATTCTTTTCTGCATTTTTCCCACAAGAACAGTGGGGAAAAAACAAAGAGTATAACATAAGCACCAATGCAATCATCCAATGGAAACATCATTTTAGGCAAAAATAGAAGAAGCCCAGGCTCAGTTTTGAAGGCAAATTTAGCAACATTTGAGCAAAAAGTAGATGTAAAAACCAAAACAAGAGTTCTATTCCCAACCTATAAATCTGGCCATTCTGCTGAGCTGCAGGTGTCTGGCAGCAGGCAGAGCTATTACAGGCTAAGCTACCTGAAATACTTTGTTCACAAAATACTACACTTTGTGCAACAATAGAAGACAAAGCTATTTTTGCAGGTAAATTCGTAGTGAAAAATAAGAGAGTTTGCATGAAATGCTAACCTTACACTTCACATAAAAGTTTTCTGATAATGCACAAGATGTTCCCAATTAAAAAGACCATTAGATGAGCAAAATACCAAAAGCACAGAAAAGATCATAGTCGAGAAATGACGGGAGATGAGAAGCCTAGTTAATCAAACTGAAAGAGAGCAGAAGAGTCAAACACTGGAAATTTGCACTTCAAATATCCATCCTTCTTCATTCTCTGAACAGCATCAAATGCTCCAAAATGTTGCAGAGGCTCCCAAATTTAGGGAAGATGAACTTGGTAACAGAGTGAGTTTTCCTTAGCTAATGCTACACTCCTATCTTATTTTGATTACTGTCTCCTCTCCACTACTCTCTTGTTCTTTTTCTACAGAGAGGATACAATATTTTATACAAGATGGATCAAAACTTAACACACTTTTGTGGGAGCATTTCCTAGCCTTCCATGTGATCTTCCTGTCTTTTTTTTTTAAGGTTTAGCTACAGAAGAGGCAGGTCAAACACATGTGGACTGTTTAGCTGCCTGTAGGGCAATTCAGCCCCACAATCAGTAGAGTTTAGGTTTGAGAACAGACCAAACACCCAAGGAGCAGCCCTGTTCTTACAGAGGGAACCTGTGCTCTGCAACCACCAGCACAGCCCCTGCAAGCTCACCCCGTGTCTAAGGCTTCCCCATGCTATGCCACGAAACACCAAGTTGGTCAAATACACAACTGAAAGATGGCATTGAGAAGAAAGACAGCAGTTAAGTGTCACTGAAACAGTCACAAGAACAAAGCAGAATMCAGTCCATGATTCTCTTTTGATACTATGATCCAACTGAGGAAGGAAAGTGGAACAGATTCCAAATATATCCCCAAAATCACGCAACAAGGTGACACAAAGCAACTATCTGAAGAGGCTGACTGCAGCAAAACAAGCCTCATTAAAGGTCCAGATCTGCTGCACCTTGTACCCTCAACTCTACTCTTTCACTCTTCTCCAAGAGAAGATTCCATCCCTTGGATTGCATTTTATTTGAATGGAAAACTGAGAAAAACCTCAGAGTTGTTCCTCACACTTTGCAGCTCCGACATCCCAAATCCTCCCTTCTCCCCCAAAAGGTCCTCAAGGCTTTATCTCTTTGTTTGTTTGTATTTGTTCTGTTTTGGTTTCTTTTGCAAATAGAATTCCCGTTCCAATTTGTTGAAAACTGCAATATTTATGCCACAGATAGGCTTTTAATCCAAGTGCCTCTCACTGAGCTTTCTATGGTTCAAAAGAAAGCTGCAAGAAAGTTCTGCACGAAAACTGATCATAAATAATTAAATTCAGACACAAAGTCGAAGTGCTGTTTGCGTCTAAAAAGTAGGCCACGTGAACATGACATATTCTTATCCACTAAATGTCAAAAAAGACTAGGTTGTTTCTGCCACTACAGCTACAAAAACAACGGTTTTGGAACAGCAAAATTATTTATGCATCAAGATTGACAAGCTGCACAAAGYTAGATTTTTTTTTTACTAGGGTGGTAGGTGTAAAAGCAGAGAAGCACCAGACTTCCTCTAGGTCCCAGACCTGGTGTGCATGGCCAGAGCTGTCTGGAACAGGACAAGGAGAAGCAGCAGCTTTATCTGGTCACATTTGCTGGTCCTCACGCTGGGCATGAGGCAGAGGAGGGCCACAGAAGGGAGTTACGTGGCAGAACAGAGGCGAGCAGTGAGGCACGTGCAGGTGGGTGACCCTCACCCCTGCAAGCAAGTGCGCCATGACTGTACATGCCCCATGTGGGTGCCCCACATGTGGGTGCCCCATGTGGGTGCTCAGAATGTTTGTATGAAATGTAATGGAGAGTACAGGTAAAGGATTACTAGGAAGCTCACAAAGAAGGAAATCATTAAAAGCTCCAAACAATGCTCTGCCTTGATGAGGCATCTGGAATCTAAATATTTACAGCTGATCCCATTAAGTTGGAAGTGTGCAGGATGCAAAAAGTAATTTAAAAACACTTACTGGCAATCATGATAGTTTTGGAGTTTCCTCCTAGGCTATCTTTTAACAGCCAAGTCAACACAGAGTCCCTGTAAGGCACAAATACTTGCTTCTTCTTTGCAAGAGGATTTGTTGCATCCTGAGATAAATCAGCTGTAAAACAAGGAGGGAGGAGTGAGAAAATAACAATAAATGAAAATAAATTTTCATTCCTCTTCAGAAACTCTACATGTTAAGTCACTATTTTTTGCAATACAAACTTTAAAGGAATACAAACGTATGCAATGATTAAAACCAAAACAAAACATAAAAACAAACACACACATAAAAAAAAGACACTCACCTAAGGCAGAAATGACATTTCCCAGAGTAACTAGAGACTTGTTAATATTTCCCCCTTCCTTTAATCTAACCCCTGTGGCACCAGTGGCATCTGCTCTCTCACTTCCAGCAAGATCTACCAAATGAATCTTGCTAACAGTCTCACAAGGCATTTCAGAATCAAATTTAGCCTAAGGGAAAGAAACAAAGAAAAAAAAAATGCATCAAGCTACCATATTCTAAAATCTTACTGAATTCACCCTAATTGTCCTTTCCATGTCATGATTGAATTTAAGTAGTTTCTGACAGCAGAATTTTAGAAGACCAGTGATTCAGAGGTGCCCCATTTGATCATGAACTCGTACTCAGTGAGTTACTCTTCGTAGATTGTCATATTTTGCAACTTTAAAGCAACTTATGTATAGGCACCAACAACTGTGGATCGACAGGTACATGATGCACAGGCAGCTTATTGCTGCATTAATATTAGTACACTTTGAACTAACATGTAATGATGCAGCTCCTTGCTGAGGATCACACACACTAAGACACATCTCCATTCAATTGCCCCCCAGCTTAAGTACCAACTGCAATTTTACTCTGTGACTGCAATTTCCTCCCACTTTTTAACCCTACTTTGTACCACAGTTCAACTGATAATTGTTTACAGGGCAGCAGTAACGATGCCTGCCGCTCATCTTCTCCCCATAGCTCTACAACAAGCAATTTACAGAGATTAGTGCATAGGATTTTGTGTGTGTTTAGTTTTAGGGAGAAACATGAAAAAATTTGTGAGGAGAGCAAACTATCCCTATGCTACCTTTTCTTCTTCCAGAAAATTGCAAACAGCTGGAGACATTAAAAAAGGAGTTTACTACATGTAAACAAAACAAAAAGAAAAAAAAACTAATGCATTAAATCTCTCCTTTTTTTTTTTTTTCCATCATTGAATCAGGAATATAAAGAAGAGGTGAAAGAGGAAGTTTCAGAAAGAAAACAAACTTAGAAAACATTTATTTTTTCACCTGAGTGAAGTTGATTGTGAAAATGGCATGAGACCTGCTGCTGACATCATTCATTCCAGTTGCAGCTGTAGTTCTGTTTATATTTCCTGCATCCATAAGTTCCTCTACATCAGTATAATTTTGCACTAAATGTTTAGACAAATCTAAAGAAAAGCAAGAAGTGTTACAGTATGCTCATAAGCACACTTTTCTTTATAAAAAAAGTTCAAATTACCCATCTTTACTACAAAGTAGTGCTGCAATTACGGTGTTTACTGTCATGCTGCTTTATTATTTTTAAGAAAACGAATGAGGCTTGGGGTAAACTGCAAATTTACAGTAAACCTAACAATTTAAAAATAAAAATCAATTTTCCTAAAGTATAGAGTGGAATAATATATGCATAATAATATATGCATAATCTCTTAAAAGAAGAGAATCTTCCCTGGCAGATGATGGATTAAGACTATTAGATACTAAACAGCTCTTTCCAGCTCCAATATTAAAAATTTATAAATTATATTCAACCGATACTTAAAATCAACTGTAAAAAAGCCTATAAAACAGAGACCATCATGCTTTTATGCTACAGGAAAACAATTTATTTATCATAATTTACATTTCAAAAGAGAAAAAAAGCACTATACAATAGACAACRTCAAGTCCAAAACACTGAAATTGCTCCTTACCCTCAACATAGGGCCCTTCTTTTGGATGTTCTCGTATTCGTAAATTATTAGTTTTTGATGACTTCCTCCTGAGAAGATCTCTCACGCGCTCGTTATAAATTTCCAGATAACTGAAAGGCAAAAATCAGAAACATGCTGATTGATAAAAGCATTTTTTTAAAAAGTAACTGATGTGTTTGGAGGCAAGATGCAAACACTTCCAAAAAGTTAACTTAAGGCAGTAATGTCCACAGCAAGCCTAGAAAGCAGGAAGCAAAAGAAAGCAGAAGGGCAGCAAACGTGAGCACAATTAGAGCTTCTAATGTTGGTCTTAAATAAAGAGTAAAAATAAGGAAGATGCTTTCTAATGGCAGAGGCATCGTCATTAAAATAAAACGAAATATGCAGAAGTGAGAAATATTGCACATTTTGACTAAAAATGCCAAAATAAAAAAATAYATAAAAATCAATTATAGGTCTGAAGATAAGCATGAAATCCGAATCAGCAAGTGAAACTGTGTGGTTTTAACTGAAACCAGTTTGATAACCAGCAAACACTATAACACACCAAGACTTACCTGACTTCCGTTCGAAAGGATGCCTCATTCCGCTTTGTTTTCTCACTGATTTTGCTAAATAAGCCTTCACATATTCGAGGTATTAAACCAGCGTCACCCTGAAACAACAACAATTCTTATTTCTAATGCTATATATGCATGCACACATGCCATGTTTAGAAAAAAAAGATATTTAACATCACTTAAGCCGAGAGCTCCAAGATGCAGAAACAGTGAGAAACCCGAAAACCTGCAACTCTTTTCTTGAACTATTTTGTTGCAGTCATCTTGCCACTTCAATCACTGTATGTGTCAAATTCATCTAATATTGAATTACTGAACGCTTGAATCAAAGAGTTTTTATGTACAAAAAGCATATGAAAACCACACCTATTCCTCCCAAAATCCCTATGGACACCTGTGTGRTTTCTCCTGAGGGCTGGAACTATCCACTACAGCGCAATGGTCCTTGCACGTCAGCCAACACAAGCAGGGAGCTGTGGAAGGATTTCATCTTCTAGGTTAAACCTAGCCTGGAGGGAGGGGCCTTGTACTTAAAGCAGGAGGCAAATTAGGACAAACTGGGCTTACCAACCAACTCAAACGTAGCTCAAGCAGAGCATTCACCCACAAGAGCTGCCTGGGGAATTCCACAGATACGGGACAGCCGGGAAATACAAGTGCAGTGATCCCGGTGTGCAGCCTTGCCAGATTGCAACTGCAGCCTCTCTGCTCCTTCCACACTAAACCAGGCTCAAATCCTTGAAATGATTGATTCCTTCTCTCTCCCATATCTGGTCTTCCACYTGCCTGCATGCCTTGGACCTCAGGACTGCTTTTGAGGAACTTAGATTTACAGAAAAATCCACTAAGCTTTCAGGTTTTGGTGTTGGATTGTTTTGTTTTTAAACATAGGAACAACAAAAAAAAAATGTAATTCTCTCATTTCATGCTTGGAAACATCTAAACAGTTTTAATTAAAGCTTAAGGAGGAGAGAAAAAAAAAAAGACAATCATGACCAAAAGTTTGAGGCAAATGGTTAGCATTGGACATAATCTAGCAACTGCAAAGAAAGTCTCAAAATAAGGAGTATTAGCTGCTATTGAGTAGCTCAGCTACAAAYAGAAAGATGAGAAAGGAAGAATGTATAGTTCTCAGTATAATTTATTGGTAAATGTATATCTTACTAGTGATAACTGGAAATTAAATTTAACCCCTTTTTTCCTCTTCCCCCACCCCCACCCCAATGCTTAGAACCAAGTCGAAACCAAGTTTCGACCAAGTCTATGGTATCTCTGACATCTTTCCTTGTGTTTCTAGGCATGGAAGTTCAAAGGAACAGAACGGGCAGTCTATTCCAGAGCTTTATTTACTTACTAAAAGCCTGTTTTCCTTGTTTTATAACTCATGAGAAACCTCTTTACTGCCTTTTCAGACCTACGGCTTCTTGGTCATCTCCCTTGGATAAGTTATTCCCTTTCTCTCTATGGAAGTGTTTCATATCTTAGAAGGCTCTTAAGATTTTTTTTTGTTCCTCCTCAGTTTTCCTTTCCTAGGAAAGAMAATATGGACTGATAATCTTGATAAATTATAGGTCTCTGACTACCTCAGTATCTCTGCTCAAGACTTGGTCCACAAACTCCTTGAAATGGTTGCTGCACAGAGTATTATAGCAAATACTTCCAGGGCCAAGAACATGAGATATTTAAAGCAAAAGGAGAGCAGAATTTATATTTTCAAGGAGAAGCAGGAGGAAAAGGMAAATTTATTTCCAATTCAAGTTTTCTTATGGTACTGTGGACTCTCCGATAGGACCATCATTCAACTTGGCAGCTGAGTGTATTTTATACATCCTTTGTACCAAACCATATTCAAGTATTTATGTATCATAGCAAGAGGATAGATTAGACCTTTATTACTGAATAGTGTCAAACAAACTTCACCACCTATTTATTTGCAAACTCTCTTGATGATTATGGTCATTACATTTAGTGAGGAAGTCTCATAAAAATGTCATGTATACATTTCTGAAATAGAAATATACATCTAGGTCATAAGACCGTTGCTGGTTACAAAAAATCTATTCTGCTTAACATACTGAAGCTAAATATAAAGCTACTTGTTCCATGAAAACTGAGGGGAAAAAAAAGATAAAAAAGATTTACAGCTAATTTACTCTTCTAAACTCAAGGAGGTRCAAAATGGCCAATCTTATTACAGCTCCAAAGTGATATCTATCTAATGAAGGACAAGTGGCAACATCCCCCTTCTCGTTGCTGCTGGCAAAGGACAAGCTGTAGTTTTTTCCAAGGATTAAAAGGCAATAAAATTTGTGCAGGCTGCCTTGCAAACAGACGTGATCCATCAGCTGCTAAACCGCTCCTCCCTCAGCAGTTSAGGCAGTTCTTTCCCTCCTTGGGCAAGTGTGGCAGCTCCTTTCACAACCTGCAAACTCCCCCTCCAATCTCACCTCTCTCTTCCAGATTCTTCATTGCAGGGTTTAGCAGGACTTAATCCTTCAAATCAAAAATCACTGCATTGTTCCATAACAGTGTTTTAAAACTTAAATTTAGCTTCTCTCACTCCCAGGTTCTACTCTCCACTTGAAAGCCTTTTCTAAGCAAGGGTCAAGGACCATTTGAAATTTTCTAAGCATTCAAAAAAGTCCAGAAGAACATATGCTTTCAAAAGGGATTGATCATTTAGTCCTCATAACCAGTAGCTTCTTTCTTGCCTCAATCTGGGCATGGAAACATGGAGGGGGAATGTAGGGAGGAAGGGGCCAAACTCTCAGAGGTAGCCAGTGACAGGACAAGAGGTAATGGGTGTAAATTGAAACACAGGMAGTTCCATCTCCATGTGAGGAGGAACTTYTTCACTGTGAGGGTGACAGAGCCCTGGCACAGGCTGCCCAGGGAGGCTGTGGAGTCTCCTTCTCTGGAGGTCTCCAAACCCACCTGGCATGCCCTGTGCCCCATGCTCTGGGTGTCCCWSCTGGAGTAGGAAGGTTGGACTAGATGATTCCCAGAGGCCCCTTCCAACCTTAAACATTCTGTGATTCTGTGAAAAGCTGCAATGGCATTTATTTATTTTTTTTTCTGTTGTTCTAATCCGCAGTAAAAATGAAAGCTTTTTCTCCCGTAGAACAGGCCATCCCCTAYAGCCACTTCTTTCAACTGTTAAGGATCCATCTATTGAAGAAACAGAGCTTCCAGAAACTCAGATTCCTACTRGAAGCTAGGATGGTAATTGAGAGGATACAGAGAAGATAGGTAATAATTTATAAGACAGTGCTCTTGCTAGAGCATAATTTCAATGCACGGTTAAGAATAAAAATGTTYGTTTGCCAAATACGACATACCGCATTTCCCATCATGGTGTAGGACTTTCCAGATCCAGTCTGTCCATATGCAAACACACAAGCATTATAACCTTCAAAAGCAGATTTAAGCACATCAGTACCAAGATTTTTGAAAACCTGAAACAAATGAAAAACATTTTTGAAGACCAAAGAGGTTTTGGGGAAAAAGAAAAACTGTTTCCACGGGGAAACTTTAAACAATAAACATGTTAAAATACCACAGTATAAGCTATTGGCATCAACCAATGCTATTTATTACAGGACAAAAATTCAATGCTTAAAAGGAATTTTACTACTACATTTAGTTTACAACAGTGCAATGACATATTTTCTACTTTCTCTTCCTTCACAGATCCACTTGACACTCAGAAGCACCAAAAATAAATAAAACACTACTACTTTTCCATAGTGTCTACTTACTTCTTGTACCATTCTTAATTTTACATATTCTGCAAAGATCTGTCCCCTCCTCAATGGGAAGTGTTTCCTCTCACCTGTGGCACTATTCCTGTTTTCTCTTGGCTCCTATTTTTCCACCTGCTTTTGGCCACATCACACAACACGTGGCTCCCCTCTCACCCAAGTCCAGCTCTCACTACCAGTTTCCCTCCCAGATTCCCGACCCTTCATCAACATTCCCCTCGCTTTCCTCCATATCCTCCCTGGTCTCTTGGGCAAGGCACAACGCTTCCGACTTGGAGATGACACCAATATGGGCGCCCAATCCAGACAAGCTTTTCAAAACCCTCATAGCTCCTTCACCTGACTGGGCCGTGACACCTCAGCATACGTGGTTTAAATCAACTAACGTGTCCAAGACAGCAGTAGAGCCTAGCAGGCACGTAGGGTGGTCATGACATTCCTCCCTAGGACTCCTTGGATGAGTGATAGGGACTTTTTGAAGCATTAATGCTCGAGTGCTATCATACATTTGGAATATTTAATAATGACCTTCGCTAGAGCAAGGAAGTTAAAGCCGTGTAATGGGTCATACTTCTCGAAGATCAGCCCGAGCAGCATGATTTTCCTTTCTCTCAGCATCTGAAAGCAACAGCTCAGCTGAATTCCTCTTCCCAAGCACCCACAGGTTTATTTTTTTCCTTCTTTCACTTTTTTTCAGTGTCCAACATCTTATCTCAGTGTCTGGTCCACGTCTTTACGCGCTACTGTTTTGCCTGCGGCTCTCCTGAAACTCCCCTCCGCGTTTATGTCCTCCAGTCTGATCCAGGCCCCAGCTCCGACCTCCCGCGCCTGCACAGGCTCCCAGAGCTGTCCTCCCACACAGGCACGGAGATGCAAAACCAGGATTCCCCAAACATTTCTGCCTACGCTTTTTTCACTCACAGCACAAATTAGAACTTCTCATATTGTGTCAAAACCTCCCTGCGGGTTTTGCTCAGCCTGGGCTTTATGAAGATCTGCATCACAATTCTCACCCACACCTTTCCAGAAAACTAGTATTACCTTCATTTTTCTTGCTGTATCATGGCTCTATAATCCTGGAAGGGTTTCCAGGAGCTTCCTCCCAGCTGCTTTTAAATGAGCCATATGTATTTCCTCTATTTTTTTGCCAATTCCCTCCTAAAAATCTGTGTAGACCTGCTAAATGACTTGAGGCAGTACACAGAATAGTCAGCATGCAAAGTGATATTTGTAACTACAGAGAGTAATTTTTATGCACAGGAATTTAAAGCACAGATCAGAAGGTAGATTATTAGGACAGGGCTTTGTTAGTCACAAAAGATCAATAAACTGAACTAAGTTCTCTCAGCTTCTGTCAAAGGTTAACTTCCACTCCTGCTCTAATTTTTGTGCATTAAAGCCTATTTTACATCTGCAAGGGACATGAATGGTTCATGAAGTATTAGACAGACTTGTATTTATCATTTTTCTACCTTTAAATGGGAAAAAAACAACCATCATAAACAAAGCCTACTAGACATCTGCATTAGCAGCATTCAAGCACAGTTTTATTCCCTAGCAAGCTGCACACGAACCAAGGCAGCCTTCCTTCTGTCACTGGTGCAGAAAACTGGAAACTCTGCAGCAAGTTGATAAGAGCTTAACTACCAAGTCTTTCAATTAAATRTGAAATGAATAATACAAGCAGAACAATAGCTGGTGGAGCAATTCCTTGGAAACTGCACTCCTTTTGTTTTAAAATGCCTTCTGTTTTCAATGTGCTGTACACATGATATTAAATCCAACACTTGAAAGAAGGACAAAAGCACTTTTATGACTGAACAAGAGAAGCAGTCAGGACCAAGGAGGGAGTCTGGGATTGAGACACATGCTGTAATAGCAGAATATTGAATATGGACATCTAAGTCRTGTCTAGGATGCCAGCAAACTGCTACTACCCCCATAAACCATAAAGCTCACAGTCTAAAGAAAAACCCTGAAGGCTTCAAGGCTGCTGCAGCTGCTGAAGGCTGCTGCAGCTCTCCTTACGTCGTCGTCATTTTTCTCAAACCATCAGGGATCCTGCCTGATCRTCAACCTGATTTACTCCGAAATAGAAGCAAAAAGGTCTTACTAAGGGAGAAACTATTTTTATCACTTATCACTTCAGAAGTACAGAAACTAGGCAGGCTAGAACGTTGATAGCCATTTATATGAATTCCACATTAATCTGCCACTTACATTAATTTGCTCTATGAGGGGGACAGCAAAAGTGTGACTGGGGTCACTTTTTTTTTTTTTTTTTTTGGAAAAAGGAAGGCACTTTCCTCACAACTTTAAACTTGTATAAGATACTGCTAACCTCGAACTTAAGAATTCAAAGCATCATGTTTTCAACTGTGAGCACGCAGGATGAAAGGCAGTTTTGTCTTTCCTAAACCAAGGGAGAGGACTCAAGAGAGAAGAGCCTCCTTTGAGCAGCTTCATCAATGTCTAAACCTTTTGATCAGGAAATCACTTCAGCTACATAAGACGAATGTTCCCGTCTCCACGAGTTAAGGATGTGTACTAGCTTCTCAACAGGGATCCTTTCAAATCTGTTCAAAAACAAATTCAGGGGCTCCTCTCACAAAACAGGTCAAAGAAGTTTCCTAACTTGACCTCACAAGACAAATCAGAGAAGAGAAGCAGAAAAAAGGACATTTAGTTTTCAGTACGAGAAAAACACTTAACAGTGTTAGGTAGGTTAATCGTGTTAGGCAAGTTTAAGAAAAAAAATGGAAGAAAGAAAACAAGGCAAAACAAAACTCCAACTCTTCGGCATCTAGGGAATTTCTAACTTACACAAGTACTTTAAATGGAAAGATGTTTAAAARGAACAAATGCTTTCAGGCCAAAGAAAGGGCGCAAAAAAGATGAATTATTAACATTTAGAAATCCTACCGTTTCTTGACACACAAAGCTGGGACTTTTACTATCTGCTGAGAAATATGAAAAATCATAGGTAAATGTCTTTGTTCTTTCTCTTCCCGTGTCTCCAGTTCCACCCTCCGGTATCTATTAAAAAAAAAAAAAAGTTGGTACAATATATGCTAATGACATATTTTAAAATATTTTAGAATAACTATTCAGAATCAAAATTTAACACAGGATTACACCTAGTAAGAAGATCACAATGAGAGGCTAACCTATTATTCTAAGAAAAATATCAACAGAGACATCCTTCAGAATTAAGGCGTAAACACAGTCTGAGTTTTGCTTTGAATTTTAGCTTCCTTATTCTAACACAACAGCGCATTTTTGTCACAATACTTACTTAAATCAGTCTTGTATATGTATTTCAGTTTATACTAAAGGATTATTCTTCGCRTATAATCAATAGGAGTCAGAGAGATCTTTGCATTGTAAATGGCATTTCAGTGCAGAAYTGTAATTAAATTGGTTTTATGGGCCTGCTGGTTAATGCTGGTTAAAGCTGGCATCACGCTCAAGACAGGACAGTTAGCAACACCCCTTAGCAATACACAGCTCCAAGCTGAATCAGCCTAAATAAACTGTGTACTGAAAATCCTTTTTATGTAGTTGCCACTGGAAATTGTCTTGCAAATATCTATTTGTTGAGAACAACTTCTTTTGGTGATAGATATGTTAAATTAGATCACCAAAACACTAGAGCAAGTGGTGGGAACTTCAGTTGATTTTCATGAAAATTCCAGATTGCTGTTACAGGTCACCTGCAGGTTTATTAACTACTGGAAATACACCTCTCTTCTAGGCTTTTAGCTTCCATTTAAGTAATGACTAGAATAATAAATACCTTAGGAAAACCTAGGAGATACCATYTACAGAATATTTTTCATAAAACTATGGTTTTAAGAACCAATAGCAGTTTAACAGGTTTTCCCAAAGAATKAAGTATTTCTGAAATTAAGGACTGTTCTCCATAGTGCGCTATGGCGAGTGAACAGCCAGGCAGATTTTGGCAACTACTTAACTAGAATTTCCCTTTTAAAATTGTGCTTACTCACCTTTAAGTTTGTGATTGTTGTTTTATTTTTTTCCATTGAAATAATAAATTTTGCATTCAGGTCCTTCTCCCTGCAAATAAAAGCAAGACTTGTGTTTGTCAAATAAAACATATCACAATCATTCACAGTCCTATCTCTATTCAMTAAACTGCTTGCAACAGCCAATTAGTCAAGTGAATCCATTTGTATTTCATTTTCATTTTGTATTTATTTCATTTTACATTTTTATTTATTCAATGTTTATTTATTGCCACTACAGATACTTGAAGCACCTGGGCTTGCCTCCAAATACAAATCCCTTCAYCTAGTAACAGAGAAGCAGCTTGGGAAAACCTGCTTAGGAAGTCTGACCCTGCAAGTAAACCAGATGTTTTGTTCTTAGGCTGAAGGAGTCTGATCCAAAGCTCGGGGAAGTTCGTTGTGCGGCTCTAAGGAATTTTCTAAAATTGTTTTATAAAATAAATCTTGACCTTTTACCACTACCCTGGCGGTAAGAAACAGTCCCAAATTAGCCAAGTGTCCAGGCAAAAGGGACTAAATTACAAAAGCTCAAACCCAGTTTTGAGGGGTTGATTATATKTGGGTACACCACATATTTTGGGGATGTAAAGAATGGGCGCAGGGGAGAGAGAGACGGATAAAAGTACTAAAACTAGCACATCTGACTGGTACAAAAGAAAGCAAAGGGCTTTAAAGAAAAGGCAAAATATATATAAAGAGGGTTTCTTGTATTACATTGCACAATATCCCAGCAATAACTGGATATTCATTTATGTCATCTTTATGAGAAGTTTCTCTTTTTTTTACTTTTTTTAAACAGAAGACCTAGTTTATGCTATTTAGAGTGACATTTTGCACTGAACAACTTAAATCTTCTACCATGTTCTTCAATCACGTTCCTTTTCTTCTTGAATCTTCTACCACGTTTCTCAATCAAATCCACAAAGTTACCCTTTATTTACACTCAGGCCTCTGGTAGAAATTCTATAGATCAAGACCCATCTTAAAATCTGAATTAATGAATAACGATTAAGCAGACAAAAGAGCTTATTTAAATATCAACACATTAAGTTATTTTCTAAGCTAATAAAATGCATAACTGCAATAATTGTGGGATTAATTATATGTCTGAAGTTAGATCTACCATTGAAAAAAACATCAGCAACATGACTTCAGGGAGGCCTTTCAGTTGCTTCCTTCTCATCCTCAGCATCTTTAGCTAAGTCTACATTTAGACACTGAAATACTACAAGAAAGTTCTGGGTGACAAACAGGGAACAGAAGTGGATGTTTCCAATGGTACTTTTTAGAAGGATACAGATTTAGGCATAGGAGTAATGCAGCATTTGCCTACCTACCAGTCTTATCAGGAACTACCCTTTTTTATTATTTTAGCAATTATTTCTTTGTTAAAGTTTGGAGGAATTCCAGGTGGGACCAAGTCTGGACCAGCATCTTCTGTCTGGATTCCTTCATGTTCAACATGTAAATGGGGGGGAAATAGTCAACTGGATTTGTGTCTTCATTCCTGAACCTAGCCAGCTCTCTAGATTACAAAAATGAAAACTATGCTAATTATAGAAAACACATGCAAAATGTTGGAAGTGTAACACCTTCGTATTATTTTTAAGAAGCCTACAGGTCAGTAATCTTTGCGCTTATACTGCCAATAACATTAAGAATTTTGCATTTTTGTAGGGGAAGGACAGGGAGAAGACAATCTGAAAAAAAAAGGAGTCCTATGGTCAGAATCAGGCTGCCAACCTGAGGCAAGTGAACAAAATTAAGAGGAGAAAACACTGAAATCAAATACTCAGGTTTATTTGTAATATGAAATAACTGAATGTAGTTTACTGTACGCACGAATAGTTGGCCAGGATCCCTTAGAAAACAACTGCTTGCACTGACAGCACTTCAGAACAACCTTTTCATGCACTTCAGCAGCAGACTAAATCCCCTTCAGAAGCTTTGAAGGATCCAAGCTGCAAAGTGCCACATTTCAATTTTTGGACACCCTTCTGTGAGCATTCAGGGCCAGGAGAATCTTATCCCAGCCAGCAGTTTCCACCGCATCAGTACAAAGCACGAGCCACATCTCAAGTCAGCAACGAGCACCAGTCACCAGCCAAAGACACTCGGCCCCCACAGATTCCATTCCCTTCGTCACAAAGCCCCGTAAAGGCTGCCAAAAGGAGCTCACAATTAGTGCTTTGCTGATACAAGGCAACTTCTCTCCCCTGCAGCCCAATCTGCTCCCAAACCAGTGGTTAAGCCAGCCCTCAGGCTTTCCTCCCTGCTCTTTCACACACCACGTGGAGCTGGGTGATCGCATGGAAATCACCTTGTATCCCGTGATCCCTTGGCTCCCCACCCAAGGATAAAGTGCTGGAGCAGGCAAGCTGCTTGGCACAGGCAGCAGGAAATACCTCCAATTAGCGTTAGCATTAAACCATTAACTCTCTGCTTGTGGTCTGCTTGGTATGCTCGCCATCTAACACTTAAAAGGAAGGAGGGGAATAAAAAAAGTATCAGTAACAAGACAGGCTTAAAAGAACTATCACGTAATCTTGTAATGACCAAGCACGAGGCAGTTTACTTGGGCAAAGATTTAATCATTTCCATTACGTGGGAGACGTGGGCTATGAAGAACTGCCCACTCACAAGTGGTACCAAAACAGAGCTGCTTCATGTAAGAAACTGCAATCCAGATCTACCTAAGTCAGGTTTTTTCCTCATCTTCTCCTTCCCTTACGTTCCCTGCCTCTTTGCAGATCAAAGATGAGAAGAGTTTTTGCAATTCTATAGGCATCTATTGCAAATCAGATTACTCACAGCCCAATGTTAACAGCATCCGTGGATTTCGAAGCAGGAAGGAGCTTCCTAGTCCATAAGTTCCAGCTCCAGCCATTCATTAAGTCACTTAGTGCTCTGCAGGACTTTCTAAAGGTCCTCCTGCACTGGGGAGGGAGTGGGAYGTGGAAGAGCCGTCACTTCAAACACAGAGGAACAAGGGAAGTTTTAGAAAAATCATTATCATAAAGAAAAAAAATGCCCTATTTCCAAGTTCACCTATAAGGTCCTTCAAAGGAAAAGTTCTTTAAGCAGAGAAGGGCTTTTCATTAATCTGCTCCCTATTATTCTGATACTAGAGTACTTACTACAGCTTATGCCCCTGGGAGTCGTACTAGGGTTCCCATCCTGAGTTGTGAGGTCAGAGGGGTGATTTCTGGGAAGAAAACAGCAAGAACGAGACACYTTTGGGAAGGTGAGGGCAAAAGCCAAGGACAGAAAAAGGCAACAGCCACCAACAGATACCTGCAGGGCTGGAAGGGCTATGGACACAGGTACTGCATAAATGGCCTCCTGGGCCTGTGTAAGAATGGGAAGAGGGTCTGTAAAATAAACTCTGGAAATCTGTTCAACCGTAGACATCCAACAGAAACCCAGAGGAAGAGGATGTTGCTGAAGGGCAGGTGCATCATTTTGTTTTTCAACTGCGCAAAACCAGCTTGAGCCTGTACATAAAGGAACTCACAGAATCACAGAATCCTTAAGGTTGGAAGGGACCTCTAGAGATCATCTAGTCCAAAGCTCCTGCACACRCAGGGTCACCTACTGCATGACTGTACTCAACGTTTTTTCCTTTCAAAAAAGCGCYTTTTCTTCTTAATATTATCTTTTAGGCACAGCGTTATGAACTTCCAATTTTAGCACTCTACTTGCTTGCTAGCCAWGCGTATTCCTGGGGTCATAACGTAAACACATGATGGTTCCTTAAAACCCCAGAGAATTCAAGGTAGATCCGCCAAAAAAAAAAGCAAACTCAAAGCGTGTCACGAAGAACCTGGCTTCTTGCTGCAGCTCGGTCATGCCCTAACTCACATTGTTCATCGTGCCCCGATGCCTCATTGAATTGCACTTTCCTTTGTTCCAGTAACTCTTAAAAGGGGCAGATTCAATTCAATYAAATGCATTAAAAAGCCAAACAAATCCCTGCAGAGGGATTTTTGTTGTTGTTGTTACTTTTGTAATCACTAAGAAGTGACTTTTCTGACTATTTTCTAAGCTGCTTTCCCTGGTGCAATCTGGAATATCACACTTTTGATATCTAGCAGGGGGTGTTTATTTTTAATTTAAAAACACTCGCTAAATCATGTTTATAAACAGCCATTTTAAAATATGCAAGTATTAAGAAAACATATCCAGGTTGAGCGAAGAGGAAATCCTGAGAGGCTCTATACTGAACATCTTCATGACTCTTTGGGTTAAAGATGTTTTTCCATAAATATCAGCTGAAAAAGTCTCACAGCATACTGTTGCTTGAGAATCAAAATCAGCAGAGGCCACATGATCCGATTTAATCCTGAGATTTTGGGAATCCACTCTGGGCTGGGTCACCTGTAACACTGATTCTTCTCTATACAAAATCTCCATTCACCGCATAGCRGGCAATAGGCCAACATATCCTTCGTTCAAGGTAACCCAGTACTCTCCATATCAACAAAGTTGCAATTAAACTACTGAAGTCACCTATGCACTGACASGGCCTAAAGAGTAACAACTATATGGTACACATCTACTAAAATGAACATAAACTCATGCTCTTTGCATGGTTTTCGAGGGCACATTTTGAGGACACGCACTCTAAACAACACAACTGATCTCTGAGATTTCTACCACACTGTCAGATTTGGACAACATCAGCCAACAGGTTCAGAAGTTCCTGGAACGTAGGTGACTGACCAAGTGGCTCCACACCACCCTCAGTTTGGCACCTCAGGATGTCAGAATAATCAACTCGGAGAACACAGGAAGAAAGAAAGAAAGAATTTTACATCTCAAGAAACAGAAATTCCCTCTGAGTTTATATATTAGTGCCCACGTAACTGTTCTTTTGGTTTAAACTACAGTAGTAAGACTCTCCCGAAAAATGAACTTTTTACAGATGTCCTTGTTCTGTCTTAGGTGTGATGAGCGCTGTGGTACCCGAAACCCCGTCCTGCCTCCTGAGGCTGCTCCTCTAACCGCATCGCAGGAAGATGCCACCCCCCAGCACTTCACATAGGAGCGCTACGGAGCRGCCACATAAGCAAGTTCTTGAATCTTTTATAAGCCAGCAAGAGCTGGTTTATTAAAAATAAATAAATAAAACAGAGAGCCTGTGTATTGCCACATATGCCATGGTCAAAGATCCCATAATTACCTGAATAATATTTAAGCTTCAAGCAACAAGCTATCTTGATTATAACTTTTCTATTCTTAGCAGTCCTCAGCTTGACAGAGCTTTCACAGTTGTAGAATATCCTCAAGTGAATCTCCCTTCTACATGTTCCTGATGCAAGTCTTTAGAAAAGTGTAGCAAATGCCTTTTTTTTTTTTTTCCTTTTTATTTTTCTTCTTTTAGCAGAGAAGTTTAGTAGAAACTTTTAGCAAAGGGCACATGCAACCAAGTTCATGTGAAGGACATTCTGGAGCTCTGTTGTAATTATTATGTAACCACAAACCTAAGTCTACTAGAGAAACTTTAAGGCCAGCCATGTTCTTGCTTTCTTGAGTACACTTTTTTCTTTTTTAAGGGGGAGGCATTTGAAACATTGGAGAGWTGAACTGCAAGAACCTCAGCCCATCAGCCATTACGACACCTACTGCCACATATGCCCTTATTCTAGCTCTCTCTGAAAGACTCTCTTTGAGTGGGTAAGTCTGGTTTTGTACTTACAGCTAGTAGAAAATAAAGGACTCTATTCAGTCAGCTGTTCTTATCAACAATATCTGCCTTTCAGATACGCAAACTCATGAGAATCTTCTAGTTCAAGTGCTCAGTCATGTGAAGAGAGCTCACTGCTAATCCCAGTTATTTCAAAACTGCTTTTAATTTCAAATAAACAAAGACGGGGAAACTGGAGGACTCACATTTCCCCCCCTACATTTCATGAACAAAGGTTGCAATACAGAGAGATCCATTCATCCCTTCTGGTCTCAGGAAATTCTCAACATGGATGGTATCAATCATAGATATCATCCAATCATCTTTGGATTGTTCGTCATTGCAATAAGACATAGAGGTAACCTGCTAATGTATTTTATAATACTGAAATACAAGAACTCAGAAATTCTATTCCCAAACCAGCTGAAGTTCAACACGCCTGTAAAATCTGGGAGATGAGAATTTGTAAATGGTGCAATTTTACCTACACTGCCCCACGCTGCTGCTTTGCTCCAGCCGCGCCAGCACTGGGATATCTTTGTACTTCAGTGCCACGGAGAGAAGAAGCAGGGTAGCAATTGTGACAAATGCTGCAGTGCTTGAGAAAGTGTGAAGCATTTGCATGAAGAACCGAAAAGGTCAGGAAAACAAGCATATGTCAACGGAGGGTCTGTGTGGGCTTCCTGTTCTGTCCCGGCCTTGCAGGCTCCAGGAATTAACTCTTCACACAGGGTTTTGCTCCAACACCTGAGAGCTCCTCCAACAGCAGCCGGGGCAGCTCCAGCTCTGCCGCTCACCCACACGACAGGGCTCTGCATTTGGGACAATCCCTCCCCGACTCAGCCGGCTTTATGCATGAGAATGGAAAAGATACAGTTTTAATAAGCTGGACGCATAGTTTATGTGCCCTGTTCTAAAAACCTCTGCGGAAGAAAAAAAAAAGAAAAGAAAGCATGCAGAGGAAGTCAGGAGTTCCTGACAAGTCATCTAGGTCTAGTCTCACCTTTCCATTCATGCAAGATCATTTTCTGTAATGACTTTCTTCAAAGGAATTAAGTCTTCCCAACTGCCTGGGCTTTCATCCCCCTTGGGGGACTATTCCACGGCCTAAACTATCTCATTAGGCAGTAATTCCTTCGATATAGTTTCAGCTGCTCCATGATGAGCTTCATCCCATTACTCCCAAGATATTTTGAATGAGCTCTAACTAAATAATTAATTCCTYTTTTCAACATTTAAACTCTATAAATATTTCTAGATTCGCATCTCTAATCTTTTCTGGCAGTCACAACATAAAGCATACATTTAGCTCACTTTTCTCTTTGAACAAGTGATTCTAGCCTTTTCTGTTGATCTTCCCAACACGATTCAGATAATGAGGTTTTAAAAACTGAACTTAAAAAGGTACAGATATAGAGGCTCACTGCAGGATGCATGGAAAGCAACTTCTGTCTTTGGCTGTGAGAGTTATTTGCAAGTAAGAACCAAACTACGATTATATCCCATTCTTAGGTTCAAMGTCTTGGGTTCCAAACAAAAACTTCAAAGCTTAGCAAGAGAGGAAAGGGCAGGAAACRAGGAAACTAAGCCACAAGCCATCAGTGCTCAGAAGACCATGTATTTTAACAGCAGTGGCAGGGAAGGGAGAAAACACCAGACTGCTGGCATCCTGTATTGCTCATTGCCCTCTAAGTCTCACTTTGCTTCAGAATTGTCGAGATTTTCTRTTAAGGAAAACTCTACAGTTCAACAAGTTTTTCCTGAGTATCCCGATCTGTGGGATCCATGTTCTCAGCCAACTCTCATCCTGGGTGTTGGCTCCTCTCTTTGAGATTAACTTCTCATGTTAGGAAAAGCCACATTCCCATTCAGCCACACTCATTAACCCAGACAGCCAGCGTCCCATTTTACCACCCCTTAGGAAACACATGGCTAGACTGCTTGCTATTTAAATCCTTCAAGAGAGTGACTATATTGTTTTACATTTGCAAAGTTCTCTGTATATTACTGAGTAAAATAACTCGGGGCTTTTTCTTTTTCCCCCTTCATTCACAGTTACCTCTTCTTCCATTCCTACATAATCAATATCAAACTCTGAATGTACCAGTACCCTTAAAGAAAAACCTTAAAACTTAAAACCTAGCTCCATATTACTATATTAATTATCAGATTTGTCACCAGCACTAATGTAGACTTCTATTTCAGCCCACTCTGCTCTTCTCTGCGTTCTTCCTCTCCAGTCCTAAGTGTCAGTCAGTGAATGCCATGCTGAGAGCAAGATGTGGTTTCCACTCCCATTCACCTTGCACAGAGCAGCAACGTTTGCAGTCTTCTCAGTCTGCTTGCAGCCTCGTAACACGACCTACCTCATCTCTTCTTCAAATATCCAGAGATTTCCCAACACACACCCTGAGYTTCCAAGCAAATGCTATTAGTTCATTTGCACATTCACTCCAAAGTGACAGACTGCAATGACAACGCTCACAAGCTGTTATCTCCTAGACTCAAATTTTATCACCTTTGAGGGCATTTTTATATAAGTGTTTATGTTATTGTTGGTACCTGTGCCTGAAGAATACACATTCTTGCYACTTTTAACAGGCAGAGCCCTCCCCAGCACTGGCCAGAGAGCACTGAACTCAGGCAGTCAGACAGGCAGTCTTTATAGAGCTGGTCCAATCCTTTYTCTCACCTGTCTTTCTTTCTGAATCTCCTTGAAAGCTCTAAACTCCAAACAAGCAGACAGCATGACCATACCATGGTCACTTCATTTCATCTACAGGGAAAATAATGATCAGAGTCCATAGTTTTGCACGAAAGTTGAGAAAACTAGTAGTTTTTGTATTCCCTCAGGTCCTCCGGCAGCCTCACTGTGCTTAGGAAATTAAYAGAGCTTCCCCATTGCCCTTAACTCCACCTGGGAATGCGGCAATAACCACTGTGTCAACACGTGTAACCAGTCCATTAAGCACATCTTGGTTCGGTTAAAGGGCCGCAATTATTAAGGACAGAGGAAAGGAATGGTGTCTTGGTCATGGTCACTCCTCCGGTTCTTCTGGTATTCTGGAACCTGTTGTAAGGAAGTGAGACTGACCACGCTGTAAAACAAAACTCTATTATTGGCTTCTCCAGAGGAGAGGAGAGGTAATAAATAGGAAAGAAAACCAAGACACTCCTCTGTGTACATTACAAGACTATAACTACTTTAAAATCCAGACTGAATGTCCTTTTATGTCACCTGTGCATAAGGGAACAGGCAAGACAGAGGTATTTACCCCAGGCACACCAGAGCCTCAACTATCCTAATGGATCTTCCAACTTCTCTTTATTGTAGAACAACTAGGTAACTACAAATCAAAGCACGAGCATCATCAGTAAAATAAAAATTCAACGAGTTAACGTAAGAAACATCAAACTGAACTTGCTGATAGATGACTTGCACTCTGCARTTTTGTAGTTCTGAAAGTAAATCACATCATTATTGTAGCACTTACCTATAATCAGCCTTTGAGTTATGTTTCTCCTATCACACTTGACATTTCCTAGAACAGCAACTGACAATCAATGCCCAGAAACTGATGCATCAAACTTGACCACGTGCAGAGTGAATATATTTAYCTTTTGGTGTCCTTGCTTAGAATCATTCCATCTTTTCTCGCTCTACCTGTTTTATACCAATATCCTAGGTATACACATATATCATCAAAACACTCCCACTCTTCCAAGAAAATGAAAAATCATACTACTGTGTATTTAAACACAGCAACTTATCATGAGAAACTAATTAATTCCTCTTTTACCCACATTAGAAATTTTGTAAAGTTAGCCCTCCACTTATTTCTTTGGCTTCCCTTTTCAATTCAAAAATTTCATGTGAAGTTAATAACATTAATATCAGCAAATTTGTAAGTAAACTATTTCTGAGCATGAGGAGTGGAAATTCAGATTTGAGCTGCCTCTCGCTGTCTTCATGTTTATCTCCGTCTGCTGCTACACAAACAGTCTAGTCACATGTTTCTTGCGGATGAAACAACTTGTTTTGTGTATCYGTCCCTTGCACTGCTATATTAAATTGAGATGTCGAAAGCTCTGCACTTGATAGTAYGGCTGGAATTTCACAGCAGTTATTTTTAAAGATAACACAATGTTGCTCTTACAGCTYCAGGGTTCTCAGACTCCAGGCCTGAAAGCAGAGGAGCTGCCTAAGTAGGAGGCATAAAAACATAAAAATCAACCAGAACATCCTCATGCCTAATGGATAAGCCACAAATATATTCCACACTACTAAATTATCGGTATGAGCACGGTTTTCAATCCAAACAAATCCTAGAGTTGCACAAAAGCCCTGCCTAAGCACTAAAACATATTTTCAATTTCTCTCCAATGTCAAGCATAAAAGCAGTTCATCTATGGACAGGATAGCAGCTGTGAATGGGTATGTAACCACTGGGAGCTGCACGGCCGCCAAGCGCTCTGGCCATCCCCACCCGCTCCGGCCATCCCCACCGGGCAGCTCACGTCAGGCAGCAAACCCAGGGAGGCCGTGGGCAGCGTTACAAACTGCTCATGTAAAATCAAATGGCAATTTCYGCTTCTTTAGATTAAAAACAAGGACAGAGCTGTGGGAAAGTGTGAAGAGCTCATTTAAATAAATGCTTACAGCTGTTGAGACCACAGGTTAAGCACAGGGAACATGAGTTTACTGTAGGTCAAGCCCACATTCTGATGACCCTCACATCCTTTTCAGGTAAAGAAAGCAGATGATCCTCATTAATCCTCTATTATTTCATGAATTAATAAAAAAAAAGATTAAACCTGTCAGGTATAAGCAACTGAAGAGCATAAGAATTATTACTATCAATTTAATTCTTTCAGGTAACCTTTCCCTTACTAAGCTTCTAAACATTCTCCAGCGTAGTCAGTACCTGCTAGATAGTTGTCTTTAACTGAAAAGAGAAGTGCAAAGGTAACTTTACTGAGTATTAACTGATTTCTGGCTTCCRTACAAAGAAAACTGGATGCAAGACGAAAGTAAAAGAAGGGGTAACTCTCTCACCACTACCTAAGACTCTAAATAGATGCATGTAAAGCAATGTGTTTACTTGAACTGGGCGGAAATGGTGCATGACACAAGGACCTGGGGTAGCACAGACTAAACACGATCCCAAACGCCTCATAAATCAGTGTCCAGTAACACTGAGTCCAAAGAAGTCTGCCCACTAGATACACAGGAGTGCCTTGAAGTCTATAGCGCTTTCCTACCATCTCATTTTTGGTGCAGGAAACAACTGCTCTGACCGACTCCTGCTGACTGATCCTGCCGGCAGTTTRAGCGACCGGGTACGGGATCCTCCAGCAAATCCTCCAGATTGCAAGACAATAAATGAACATGCCTAACAACTGTCTTGGAAAACAAACCATATACATTAACACATGATGGCCAAAACCATTAGTTTGCCAAACTAAGTGTAGGGATTGGTGCCGTGGCAGCACCCAATGCAASAGCTTCTCTCCAGCTCCGTCTTCTCTAATGAAGAATGATTCATTAAATAAGCTGCATTATATGACTAAGCTCAGAAGAAACCAAAGCAAATTCATGTAAGAAATGAAACTTAACCCCACACAGTGCTGTGTTAAAGATTTTGAAAACAAGTGCAGCAGAACACACTTAAGTTGCTTTGCRTTGATAGAAAAATCCCTATTTTATAAAATACTGCAGTGCCTCCTGCAACAACCCGCAAGCAGAAAGGCAACATCACTTAGGGGAAGACACACAAAGGAAACTGAAAGGAGCAAGAGATGATTCCTGGCTCACAGTTAACAAGGCCTTCACTGCTGCAACATGAAAGCTATTGGGTCCTCTAAGCTTTATGATCATGGTTTTACAGTATCTTTAAGCAGACACAATACCCCACTGCTGGGTAGTGGCTGGAGGAGAGCACTACGGATGTGCAAAGTGGTCTGAGGTGCTCAGGGAGGCACCAGAGCCACTGATGCATCTAGACACCAAGTCTGAGAAGCAGCTTCCCATGTCATTGAATGCAGTTGTCTGACACACGTTCTAGAGACACCGAGCCCCACCCCATGAACAGCAAGGATTCCACAGCTTTACCTGGAAGGCTATTCATGCTTTACTTCCCTAGGTAGGGACTTCCTACCTAGGTAGGGACTTCCCTGGGTAGGGACTTGTAGGTGTCCCTGCTTGAGCGGGAAGGTTGGACAAGATGATCTCTAGAGGTCCCTTCCAAGCTTGAATATTCTGTGATTCTGTGATTGCTGGTGTGCAGGAAAACACTTTCCACAGCCCACCCACACTTGCTCTGAGCAGCCCATCAAGGATGAGTTTCCCGCTCACTGCTTCAAGTGCATCAGCCTTCTATCTTCCCTGCCCTCACACTCCTCTTCTTCCATTGTACCACACACTGTTTTCTTCCTTTTTTCCAGCCATGTAGCCCTGTTCCAGCTACCCTCTCACATGCAATCCAGACACCGGGGGGCTCAGATATACAGTCTACAATACTCTTGTGCTGCAGTACAAGACGACTTCCACACACACGTTRTCAGCTGGTGTTTCCACTGCCCAGCACAACTACCAGCCCTCTGCTGCTCTGCCACACGCTCTTCATTTCGCCTTCTCCTCTGTCTCTTAGCACACTGCCCTTCCAGTCTCCAAATGAGACCCACACACCACCGAAGCACTAAAAGACAGTCTTTGCCCTACACTGCTCATTGCCAGGGCTTCTGCCAGGGAAAGTGAACTGCAGAAGTAGAATAACTTCAAAGCTGG